CTCTCTCTCCCTCTCTCTCCCTCTCTCTCCCTCTCTCTCTCTCTCTCTCTCTCTCTCTCTCTCTCTCTCTCGGACACAATAGAACTGCCTTGTAGAGTATCCGAGGAGCAGCTAGTGGATTTGAACTGCCGACCTTTTGGTTAGCAGCTGAGCTCTTAACCAATGCCAACACCAGGCCTAGAGAGTAGCCGATGTGTGTGGCCACTCAAGGCGTGTGGGCTGCCCACTTACTTCCCCTGGGAGGCAGAAGTTTGTCTTTAGGGATGAACTTCAGTGAGTTGCTAAATATTCAGACGCAGGACTGCCTTCGCTTCAGGCTATTATTGTTGAGGAAGCTGAGAGGAAGCAAAAGAGGAGGAAGTGGAGCGTGCCCAGCCCCACCCCATTGTTCTGTCAGCCTGAAGAGCAGAAGCAGCCCTGGCCCCAAAGCCCCCCAACCCCGCCACCAGCACCTGCCTGCCCACAGGGCAAAGCCAGAGAGCCTGCGCCCAGAGCCATGTCCTCTGCCTCTCCTGCCTATATCCCATCCATAGTCCAGTGCTGCAAGAGTCTGGGTTTGGGGTCTTTAAAACCATTAGGGAGAAATAATAAACAAAAGGAAAGCTGCTTTACCTTTAAAAAAAAGAAAAGTAAAATAAATAACCTTATGGGACCACAGATGTATACGCAGTGGTATATGCGGTGGGACGATGCCCTTGAACAGACATGATGCTGATGTAGCATGTGACTATGTGTATCTATAGTCCTGGGTATTCTAATTTTTAAAAAATTATTTTGGAAGGATATCAAATAAGAACATAAACCTAGATACTTTCATTTATTAATGACTATTTATCAAATTCTCTACTTGTGATACTGAAATAGGAAATGTTTTTCTCAGCCATATTTTGTTAAAGAAGGTGCTTTTAAATTCTTCTACCTCACTAACATAAATACCTGTTGGATGAAGGAATGAATTCAACACATCTTTATCGAGCACCACATTTCTACAAACACGTGCCTTCTACATTTGTTTGCCAACTGCTCCATCCCCACTCAAGGTGTTTTCATAAGCACACTATGCTAATTTATTTTTACAGCAACATGTTCATTCAACAAGGTTTACCCATGTGGTGGCATGTATCAGGACTTCATTTCTGTTTAAAGCTGAATAATATTCCATTGTATTTATGTACCACATTGTTTATCCATTCATCTATTAATGGACACTTGAAATGTTTCCACTTTTCGGCTACTGTGAGTAATGCTGCAATGGACACTGGTATCTTAGTTATCTAGAAATACCGCAAATGGGTGGCTATAACGAAAAGAAATTTATTTGCTCACAGTTTAGGAGGTCAGAAGTCCAAATTCAGAGCACCAGCTTTAAAGGCTTTCTCTGGTCGCCTGGGGAGGGAAGGGGCTTTGTCTCTTTCGGGTTCTCTTCTTTGGTTCCTTGGTGATTTCCACGTGACATCAATCTTTCTCCATTTAAGCTTCCTGCTTCTGTGCCTAATCTGCTCTTTTTATTTGTCAAAAGTGATTGGTTTTAAACACACCCTATACTGGTATGGCCTCCTTAATATAACAAAGAAAACCCTATTCCCAAATGGGACTATATTCACCAAAAAAACCCCACAAACCAACCTACTGTCTTCCAGTGGATTACGACTCATAACCCTTCAGGACAGAGGAGAACTGCCCCAGGAGTTTTCCAATGCTGTAATCTTTATGGAAGCAGACTGTCACATCTTTCTCCATCAGAGCAGCTGGTGGATCTTTCAGTTAGCTGCGCACTTTACCAATGTGCCACCAGGGCTCCTTATTATATCCACAGTATTTAAAAAAAAAAAAAACCCACAGATCTATGGCCACTGAGTCAATGCAGACTCACAGCGGTCCTATACGACAGAGTAGAATTGCCCCATGGGATTTCTAACGGTGTAAACTTTACAGAAGCAGACTGCCACATCTTTCTCCTGCAG